GTGCAGACGAAAAACTAGGACAGGGTTTCCTGCGATACTTATTTAACGGTGTCGCAAAACAAATATTGAATCTACAGCGGCTAGAAGGGATAATGATCTTTTGAAGCTACAAAGCTACGATCTTATGAAGCTATGGCCAGATTGTCCAACTGGGCATGCACACATCAATATTGCGTCATTTTTGTCTCGCTGAAGAACAATTCATTACCGTATTTGCATTATTGTAAGGTTAGGATTAGAATTGGGGTAGGTGAGACGTTAATAAAACACAATCTAATAGGTAGCAAAGTTAATTTATTGTTATTTTCCGTATCCCTTCTAGCCAAACAGACAGTGGCAACCAGTGTTGTTAGATTACAGAATGAATGAGTCCTGTTAGCGGTTCTTTTTAGTGAATCAAAACATACATTTACCTATTCCTTTAACAGCAAAACCATTTTTATTCGGTCCTGTGTCCTGAAATATCTTGATAACCTCATCTATTATGATTCGCAATTACACATTGCTGATAATAACTGAAACTATTTACTGTTTTACATTTTGATATTTATCTGTTCCTTTTTATAGCAAAACTTTTCTATCTGGTAGCATGTCCTGAAAGATCTTGATAACCAGTGTTGGGGAAAGTTACTTTCAAAAGTAATGCATGACAATATTGCGTTGCTCCATAAAAAAGTAACGAATTACGTTACTTAGTTACTTTTTATGGAAAGTAATGTGTTACGTTACTTTTGCGTTACTTTTTAAATCTGGACAGGGCTTGCTTGTTTGTTTTTAAAATAAAAAAGTTCTATTTTTGGCAAATATAAAAGCCTTTTCACACCAAAAGTGAAATGAATAAGCCTCAGGCTGAAGGGAAAGTAAATTTACATCCGTACAGTAGAATGCAGAAGAAGAAATTTCAACACACTTCAGCAATAAAAAAAGACACAAATGTTTGTCTAGAGTAATTTGTGCTTATTAGTACGGTTGAACTGGATCATCGAAGGTCAGAAGCAAAGACATTGGTTAATAGAATGGGATTAAATACATAAAGGATATTTGTGTTGTTTAACATTTAATTATTGCAGGTAATAATTCATCTTTTATGATTGGGATGTCCTTTTCAATGGCCAGAAGCAGAAGATCAGCGAGTAGTTCTTGTCCACATACATTGCGAAGCTTAGTTTTCACCAGCTCCAACTTTGAGAATGAGCGTTCAACAGTGGCTGTTGAGACTCGTAGGGTTGCAAAGATTTTCAGCAGCTTAAAATGAAAAAAAGACACAAATGTTTGTCTAGAGTAATTTTTGCTTATTAGTATGGTTGAACTGGATCAACGAAGGTCAGAAGCAAAGACATTGGTTAATAGAATGGGATTAAATACATAAAGGATATTTGTGTTGTTTAACATTTAATTATTGCAGGTAATAATTCATCTTTTATGATTGGGATGTCCTTTTCAATGGCCAGAAGCAGAAGATCAGAGAGTAGTTCTTGTCCACATACATTGCGAAGCTTAGTTTTCACAAGCTCCAACTTTGAGAATGAGCGTTCAACAGTGGCTGTTGAGACTCGTGGGGTTGCAAAGATTTTCAGCAGCTTAAAATGTGTCGGAAACACAACATGAGCATCAGACTCCTTGAATGTTTCCAAAATTGCATGGGCACTTTTTTGTGAGTATGTGTATGAAGAGTGGAAAGCTCTCAGTTTGCAGCTGTTCCTCCTCCTCTTGAAATCTGTAAAACTCACAGAGAGTATGGGCAGCATTTGCAGTGTCTTTCCACTTTGATGGCTTAATCAAGCAATGCAGTGACAATTTTGTCAGTGTTCCCTTTACCTTGAACTCACCTGTGGAGTTCCTGAATCAGGGAATCCAAAAAAGTTAAGTGCATCCTTCCTCTGTATACTCCTCTAAAGTCTGTGGCTGGTGGTCCTCTGTTGCTGATGTGGAGCAGTACTTAACTTTTCCAAAGCTTTATCCAATGCCTTTCTTTTAAAGCCTTTCCACCGAATGATGCCTAGCATGTGTGACTCTGGATCTGATGGATTTTGGAACTGAAGCAAAAACTCAAAGTCTTCTGGCTCTTTCTCCCTTGTGTATATGGCTGTGGCTGCCTCACTCTCCATATCTTCCTGTTCTGCCTCTGTCTCTTCCCTCTCTGTCTCATTGTATTGCCTTTCTTTCTCAATCTTGAACATTTTCTATTTCTGGCTCAGTTCCAAGACCTTCACTTTTACTTTGTTGAGCTGACTCTGGGAGAATGAATAACAAACCTTTTACAATCATATTGTAAATTTTTCTATTTTCAATATTAAATCAAAAATCAAATGAACGAATGATACACCGATTTTGTTGGATTACAAAACAAATTACAAAAAGCAGTTATTTTTAGTGAATCAAAAACTACAGTGCGACTAGTGTAGCATGACTCCTCAAAAATGACTCTTATGAGTCAGGTTTTTTTGAATGAATGAAAAAGCTGTGAATGATTCGAATGACTCTGATAAGAATAATAAAAAAATAATCTGATAAAGAATCAAAAGCATACAGCGAGACTACTTGACAACAATTGACTCTGAAGATACTTTTTTTTTTTTTTTTATACGTAAAGAATGAATAAAGAAGCTTAAGGCGCAGCCACTGTAGTACCCGAACGAAGGATACTAATGAGTCGGTTCATCTTAATGAATCAAACACATATATCTTACTAACTCTGACACTTAGTTGCTGACGGCTAGTTTATATGACGAGTAGTTAAATGTGCAGTTTTCTAACTAATATTAATACATAAATAAAAAGAAATAAATTGATTCTGTTACCACATTTGCTGTTAAGGCAAAATACTGGGTTGCATTTATGCTCTAAAAAGTAATTGAATAGCCTAATCTGTGTAAACACAGTTTTAAGAATGGTTTTATTTATTTATGAACGAATAAATGAATAAGTGCATTTCATGCACTGAAATAGAAAAGTAACATTTTTTTAAATTATACATAACTAAATGCATTTCTTTTTCGTTATTCGTTAGAAGTATAGGCTACTAAAAAAGAATCATTAATGCAACTTCAGGAGCCTGAACGGTTAAGAGGAACAAGAAACAAATCATATACCAAATAAAAGATCAAAAATGTGAACTGAGTGAAATTCATTAGTTTGACCCACAGCGGTTCAGTAGTCTGAATGAGGCTCTGCAGTGAGGGTTCAGATGTTCAGTGTTCAGCCTCTATGAGATTTTGCTCTTAAACATCTGCTAAAATGTTCCACTCAGCAAGGACACTGAGGCACTCACGCCTAAATTGCTTTTTAGAGTCTAACAAAGAAACACTGTGCTCTAAAACTTACATGGAGTGGCTTTTAGAGCACAGCAGACTGCTAGAAAGACTTGTTCTCGTTTTGCTTTGCAAGCATCCCATCAATTACAGAGAATCCTCAGTTTTCTAAAGTGTTTTTGAAAAATCACATACCCTGCCTTTAAGATTATTCATAATGATTCATATTTTCAAATGTATAAAATTATTAATTTATTTGGCATCAGTGCAACGTGATTTCCTTGTCTACTTTCAGACTAGTGGAAAGTAAACATCCAAAATACACATTTAAATATTTTATTACACTTTTTTAGTAGATTTCTGTACTGTAGATAGTTTTCAATTACAATACTTAACTTGAAAGGCAATGCGTTTTTCTCATGCATTGAGCCAGAAATCTCCTCCTCAGTTACATTCACACCAAACTTTACAGTTTTATTCCTGTTTATATTCTGAAGGTTTTTACAGGACGGGTGGTTTATATAACATTCACCTGATTTATATAACATTTTATTCCTACAAATATGGCAAAATAAATATAAAACAGTTTTTTTCTGTCTGTTGAAAGTATAATGGAGTGATAAAAATTACAAGTCCAAAATCTAAACTTGCAATACAAAACAATAGTTTTCACCCAAAGTACAGTAGTTCACCCAAAAATTACAATTTGCTGAAATTGTACTCAGGCCATCCAAGATGTAGATGAGTTTGTTTCTTCAACAGATTTGGAGAAATGTAGCATTGCATCACTTGCTCAGCAATGGATCCTCTGCAGTGAATGGGTGCCGTCAGAATGAAACATCACAGTAATCCACAAGTAATCCACACCACTCCAGTCCGTCAATTAACATCTTGAGAAGCCAAAAGTTGAATGTTTGTAATGAATAAATTCATCATTAAGACATTTTTAACTTCAAACCGTTGCTTACAGCTAAAATATGAGTTCATAATCCATAATAACGCTTCCTCCAGTGAAAAAGTCCATCTCCTGTTGTCTCTCACATCAAAATCCACCGACATATTTGTTTAGAGCTGTTTTGTACTGTTTTTACTTGTTTGTTTCGCTGTTTTCTGTGAATATTTCTCCCCTGATTCAGTCGAAATGACTTTTTCACTGGAGAAAGCAATATTGTGGATAGATGCAAAATTTTTCAAAATCTATTCAGATAAACAGACAAACTCATCTACATCTTAGATGGCCTGAGGATGAGTACAAAACCGTAAAACTAATATCATCACAATGGTTGAATTCAATGTTAATGAGGCAAGTTATGATGTTGCACAGTAACCGTAACCAACTAAATAACTTATTCATCTGATTTGTTCAGGACATATTGTGCTCTGTATTTTCACATTTCACTATTCTTTTTCTTGTGTAACCCCCTATCAATGTCTTGCAGACTGCTTTTGTGTTGTTGTTCTGTATACCACCCAGCCTCTGTTTAACCATATAATATAAGCATGATGTTCCTTGCTATGCTTTAGAAACACGTGTGCAATCCGGCCTCTGCTATCGCACACTTGTGCACAAAACAATGGCTAATTTTTAAACAGCTGCTTTGTAATTCTTCTCAGTGTGAAGGAACAAAGGTATATCATTACAATTCTACAGCAAAAACTGAGGATTCAAAAACAAAGCATGAGATGTTCTTAAAGAAATAATGGCAATCATTGTTTCATTGTAAATTATGGGTCTGTACATTTTGCAACATGAGAAAGAAATTCAACAAATACGACCCATCCTTTCATAATTTATTCACCAAGACCTGCAGATACAGCGACAAAGTGGCTCCCACTATAATTAAAGTGACCTAATCCATATAGGAAGAAAGAGAATATCGTTTTTAATACTGCAACAGGCAGATTGGAAATTTTTGATGGGATGATTTTCTTTCCCAGCCGTTGTTCCTCCTTAGAAATGATTACATTAAAAGGGTTCAGAGTAATTAGAGAGACTGTTGTACTGGAGTAAGGTCATTTTGATATATCCAGCGCATTGACACACAAGATTTATTTATTTATTTTTATTCTGAGAGTAACTCAATTCTCTGAGAAGCTCTGTATACAGCGGTTGAAAAAAGTAAAAATGTCACTGCATTAGGTCAAAATGTCAAAGCAAAACACTTATTGTAAAGAACATATTTGGTGTGAGATTTACTTTGAAACAGTTTTCACAAGAAAATTTCACAAGAAAGCACATTGAATTAAACTTGAAATTTTGAAGTAGAAAAACTGAAATAGTATTTTCTTGAATAACATCCTCCAATAATCTTAGCTTTTTTCATTGTAAATAAAAGCTATAGACAAGCATGTAGTGCTTTTCCACATTTAGTGCTTTTATTTCTTATCCTTTTCCATTCTTTCTTCCTTTCCCAATTAAATAAATTAAATATGAAATTTCTGTAATATTTTAAATTTGAGAAATTTTGAAAGATCACAGTTTGAGGCATTGTTGGTATTTGCTCTGGAATCTCTGTGAGATAGATAGATCTATAAACAAGCAAAATCTAATTTGTGATTTTCCAATAAAAGCTTTCTCTTCCAGTCTCTATGAAAGAAAAATCACCAATGAAATCTCTGTAATATCTCAATTGTTTCTCCTAGACACCAGTGATGTTAAAGGGGACATAAGATGAAAATATTTTTGAATAAGACCACCTCCAAGCCATATATGGAGTCCAAGGCAGCAATTCACATGTCTTGTGTGGACATGCCCCACGGAAGAGAGGGGTGGAGTGAGCAATAGCTCATTATCATTTAAAGAGACATGCACTGAAACAGAATACTTAGTTATGGTACTTAAGTACAGTTTTAGAGAGGATTCCTCCTTCGGACATAAATCACGTTTTTTTCAGTCGTTTTTTTCCTTGTCTCGAAGAAGTCTGTGCCCCATCCTGGATCTGCATAGCCTGAATATTTATTCGTGTAGGGGATTGGTTCATCACTGTAGACCTGAAGGATGCTTATTTTCATATTCAGGTTGTTCAGCAACACAGGAGGCTCCTCAGATTTGCCTTTGGGGGAAAGGCGTACCAATATCGGGTTCTCCCATTTGGTCTGGCTTTGGCTCAATGGATATTCACAGAGTGTATGGATGCTGCTCTGGCACCGCTGAGGCTCCAGGGCATCCGTGTGCTCAACTACCTGGACGATTGGCTCATCCTGGCCCAGTCAAGGGAGTTTGTGTGTCGAGACAGGGACATTCTTCTTCACTACATTCGGTCTCTTGGCCTCAGGCTGAACGCCCAGAAGAGTGTTCTCACTCCTTCTCAGCAGACCGTTTTCTTGGGGTCCAGCTCGATTCTGTCTCGATGCAGTCCTGTTTGGCTCCTGCTCAAGTCTACGTTGTCAGAACATGTTTAGCCCGCTCAAGCTAGGCCATCATGTTTTGGTGGGCACACATCACAGGCTCCTAGGTCTCATGGCTTCTCCTGTACTGCCCCTAGGGCTGCTTCAAATGAGACCATTTCTGTGGTTGATAAAACTCAAAGGAGTTTACCCCTCATGGCCGGCCCTCCACCTACTGAGAGTGTCACACAGTTGCTATCGCAACTTTTTGCAAGGTTGTTTCACTGAGAGCAGTTCACATCCCAGGGGTTCTGAACTACACAGTGGACTTCCTGTCGAGTCAGAAACTCAGGTCAGGTGACTGGATGCCGAACTGTCGGACGGTGGCTCAGATTTGAAGTGTTTTCAGCAAGGCGGAGGTAGGTCTCTTTGCGTCGCAGGAATCGACCCAATGTCCCCTTTGTTTCTCCCCGTGTCATCCAATACCTCTGGGGATAGATGATTTTGCTCATCTGTGGCTGGATCTCAGACTGTACGTGTTTCTGCCAGTCAAGTTGATTCGGACGGTCTTGTGCAGAGTGAAAGAGTACCCAATGTCCCCTTTGTTTCTCCCCGTGTCATCCAATACCTCTGGGGATAGATGATTTTGCTCATCTGTGGCTGGATCTCAGACTGTATGTGTTTCTGCCAGTCAAGTTGATTCGGACGGTCTTGTGCAGAGTGAAAGAGTGCGGGGTTCACCTCCTGTTGATAGTCCTGTTTTGGCCATCCCAGACTTGGTTTTCGGAGCTGGTCTCCCTTGTGGAGTGCGCCCCATGGGAGATTCCAGTCAGGAAAGACCTGCTGTCCCATCTCCAGGGCAGGATCTGGCACCCTTGGCCCGAGATTTGCAGGCTGTGGGTGTGGCCGATCAAGGGTGATCGGTAGTAACCTCTGGTCTACCTGCTGATATTCAGGAGAACATTGATAATGCTAAGGCTCATTCCACTAGGAGGCTTTATTTTTCCAAGTGGAAGGTTTTTGAGTGTTGGTGTTCGGCTCATGTAGTAGATCCAGTCAACTGCCCAATTTGTTCAATACTGGAATTTTTGCAGGAGAAGTTTGCGGCTGGAGCAACTGCCACGACTTTGAGGGTTTATGTCGCAGCTGTCGCTGCTCGTCAGGATTCGGACAAAGTCCCCTTAGGTAGGCATTGTCTGGTCTCCGTTTATGCGTGGGATCAGGCATCTGATACCTGCGTGCTTTGTCAGTGTTCCTTCCTGGGACTTGTCTATTGTCCTGGAGGTTATCAGAGTCGCCTTTTGAGCCTTTGGAGTCTGCTCCCAACCGGATTCTGACCCTTAAGGTGATGCTTCTATTGGCACTGGCTTCTATCAAGCGCGTAGGGGATTTGCAGGCTCTCTCTGTGAGTGAATCATGCATGGAGTTTGCTCCAGGCCTTGTTAAGGTATTTTTCTCATTTGGGTTTCTCATTGGGTTAGGGACGCTATCTCGCTTGCATATGAGGTGTGAGGTCTCTCTGCAGCATTAGGCATTTGGGCTCACTCTACCAGGAGTTTTGCTTCCTCTCAAGCTCTTTTCAGAGGAGTTCCCCTGGAGGATATCTGTTACCGCTTTTCCACTGGGGCTGGTGCCGTAGCTGGAGTCGGTGCTCAGCCAAGAGTGGCACTCGTTCAGAACCGGCTCACGTTTCCACTGGCAGGGAGCAGATCCTTCACCAACCTGTCACCAACCTGTGATAGGAATCGCTTGTATCTCTTGCAGAAGGAGAACGTTGATCTGTTCTGCCGACCACTGCTTAACTGACATATTTAATTGTTGTGTTAATGTTGTTAATTTACCTGAAATCTGATGGCTTTTAAAAATGGTGCCTTTCAAACTGTGGTCTGTAGTGGAAACTCCGCCTACCAACGTCATAGGTTCCCTAGTTCGAGACCAGCAAGGTTTCGGGGGCCGGTTCTGAACCAGGATCTGGGCACTGGCCCAGGACTTTTTTGAGTGGAAAAGTGCAGCCCGTTTCCCAATTGGGCTCCGGCTCCGGCACCAGGACTGGTGGAAAAGCGGTATGTGTGATGCCAGGCTGGTCCTCCCCTCACAATTTTATCAGGTTTTACAACCTTGATTTAGATGCGGCTCCTGGTTCCCGGGCTCTTTCTGCTTGGACCAGCCATCTGGTTTTAGCCTGGCCTATTTTGTTTCGAGCCAGAAGTGCAGTGCTTAGCTTGGCGCGTTCGTGCAGAGTTCATTGAACCTACGTAAATGAACATCTCGGGTTACTTGTTTAATCCATGTTCCCTGAATAGGGAATGAGACGCTTCTTCTCAAGAAAAGACCCCTCACACATGTCTCTTATAGGATTTTATCTCAACAATGTTTCCCAAGCAATCAATTTCTGAGCAATAAAATTTTTCTCTGAGATATTTCAGTATCCTCATCCATGCCATCTTTATGGCATGCTCATCTGTGCTGACACAAAAAAATAGCACACAAATGCCCTGCTAGGTTGGTGTAACAGCCTGCGAGATGAAATTGAGTTGTGCTGTGGAAGGACATTGTATTTTTTAATTTAAATTGCAACTGAATGGAAACAGGAATGCATTGATTATAAAATATAATTCGCATACACGCAACAATATGTGTGTATCTAACAGGCCAATTCTGTTGGACAAATAATTGCTCTCAAATGGAAAATGAAATTATATGAACTCCATTTGCATTGATTAAATCCACATGCAATAATGTGATTATGTAAAGTAATTTTACCCATGCCTATACCACCGTTTGTGCTGGCATGCATATTTATACTTAAATCTTTGTGTGGATTTATGCATTTATTAATGACAGTTTTTGACATTTAGACATTTAGACATTTGCATTTATCAGCAACCACTCATCAAAACAGAATTTAAAATCTGAATATATATATTTAGATTTATAATTGTTTATTAGTCTGTGAGCAGTCTATGGAGTGGCGCACTGAGTTTTAAGATGGATTAATTCAGTCCTCTGCTCTCATAGCATGACACAAAACCAGCAGAGCTTAAAGCAAAGAGGCTTTCTCAGAGTCCTGACCGCGGGCCAAACATCCAAGCACTGAGAGAGTGAGATTTGGGCATTATCACAAGGCTGTTTCTTTAGTTTCAGACTGTGGTCTTGCTCAGTGCCAATAAAGAGAAGTGCTGCGGCAAACTCAATACTGATTGCAGCTGTTTTCTGCTTAAATGTATCCTTTCTGTTCTGTTCAATAACTGGTTACAACTTTTGTGTTGTGGATCAAACTGCCAAAGAACAGCACCATGTAAAAACAGAAAACGAAAAAAAATAAAATTATTTTCTATATGAAATTTAGCAATATTAAGCGAGTTTATGCATAAAACAAGAGCAAATATTTTTCAATGGGGTCAGAAAAATAAACTTGTTTTTGCTTTGAAAAGGTACGCTTTTCTAAACCCACTAGAAGATATTTGTTCTTGATTTAATCATAAACTCTGGAATTTCTTTGTGTCCCCTTCCATTTATTCCTTAAATTTTCTTAACTTGGTCTTAAAGGTCTTTACAAAAACCTTAAATGTATCTTCACAAAACATGCAGAAACCCTGAAATAGTTTCTAACATTATTTGCATTTAGAGTAAATAGTATTTACTGCTATTTGCACATCCTGTACCTTTATGTCTGGTAATCAAACCCTTTCGAAGGTAAAATGGGTTTCACACACTTCATTTCAGTGCTGAAACAGTCTAGTAACTGAGATCCAAAAAACTAAGCAAAAACAACTTCTGACAGATTTTTGACTGTGAATTTCAACTAGACAGAGAAACTGTTTTTTTGTTTGTTTGTTTTTTGCATGATTCAGAAAATGTGTCCTAAATTTCACAAGTCCTCATTTATTTTATATTTTAGCTTGACAAGCTACATTTTGCTGGGGGGGGGTTTCTAAACAATTTTTAAGAAATAAACAGTTTAACCAGTGTTCAAGCAGTTTGAAAATTGAGTGTGGGTCAAATTGACCCCAACACAACAAAAGCAGAGCCACCTGATTAGACTTTTTGTGTTGTAATTTCTCAATTGGGAACCTTATTGTCTTTAGATCGTTTCTGGGAATGTTAAAATTCAAAACCTCAACTCTATGTATGTTAACTAAAATTAATGACTATTAATGCTACTTGTTTGCTTTCTATTTGTTTTAATACCAAGTACAAGCTGCGACTGCCAGACGTTACTCCACGCAGAGAACATCACTGAATTTTGTAATTTGTTTAACCAATATTATCAATTAAACTCAGGACCTGAATTTCACTTTGAAAACTAACAGTAGCAGGCTATACAGTTACAGAAATATACAGAAATGGAATAAACTCTAAATAAAAAACAGATTAATCCTTAAAATGAATTACAAAAGTGATTCAGGAGCAGTGAGTGAATGTCTCTTAGTCTTTTGTTGTTTGATTAATATTAATGACAGACAGACAGCACAGCTTTATTAGACAGCTTTCACAAGATGAATACACGGATTCAATATACTGATTCACATGCGTTTTCTTTCTCAACGGTTTACATTCACATGAGACAAAACCGAGTGTGTTTACGAGGATACTCGCCAGGATGGGCATTTTGACATGATTTTGTGTGTATTTGGATAATTATTGAAAAGTAACTCATGAGGTGTTTGTGAGGCGGCTTTATGTGTGCGCTTTGGATGTGACTGTGAGCCCACAGAAAACTGTCTCTGGAGCAAGTGCCAAATGGTTTAAAAAGAAGTGCAAATGATACACTTTTGTGACGATGCAACAGTGACCCGATTAAGTGACAAATCTGTCAACTGTCCCAAAACGCGTGCAAAAGTCTTGAATCGCAGCATGCAGCATGCAGCAGCTCGCTTGTAGTGCAGAGGAGATGCGCTGACGTGAAACCATTTTGAGAGCGTGAGTGAGGGATATGTGTAAATGCCCCTTGGCCTTCAGACTACAAATGATCACTGGCTTCATCTCACACGCCTGCCATCAGCTCATTTTAATAAACCAATTTCTTTGTCATTAAACAAATTGGCCCAGCTGTGCTAAATTGAGAGCCTTTCTTGATTGAGCCATGTGCATCATGCTCACAACAAATAACCTTTACACAAATACCCAGCTGCATTGCAATTATCTGCGATCTTACTAGAAAAATAAGCAACCAGATATGACAAAACAAGCCCCAAATAAGTGACATACCACTGAAAGTAGCCAAAATAAGTGACCCCTGGTTTCTGTGCATTGGTATAGTGCAATATGGCTGCCCATGTTATGAAACTTTCAAAGCACATAATCTGGGAATAAAAGATAAAAAAAGGATGATTTGATGATGTGTTTAACACAGCCATAAACTTGAAACGTCCAATTTTAAGACAGTGGTCCACTGATGCTGAGAGGAGTGTGAACCGCATAGCAGTGGGTTAAAGGGTCTGGCAGCAATGGAAACAGGAGCTGTGTTAATAGTCCACTGACACCATTTCTGAGAAAATCCCATTCAGTTCCTGAAAGCGCAGAGCTCTTGATATGTTAGCATATATTTAAAGTATCTCGCATAAGTGAAGAGAAGAGCACATGCTGGTATTCATATGACCATTCATCTATCATATATATCATATATATATACAGTGGAGATCAAAATTAGAGAACAATCTATAAATACTTGATTTTTTTCTGAAATATAGTTAATATATGTGCATTTTTCTGTTCAGCTCATGAAATGTTTTTTATCATGCAGACAGAATGCCATACTCGACACCGGATCAGAGTGTTCTTGTATAATAGTTCTCTAGTATTTTCTTTTTTCTCCTGATGAGCCTCAAATTAAAATGTGGCAGTATGACTAGTTCAATAAAGTTTGTCTTGTACCGAACGCCTCATATTCATACAGAAATTCATTTCACATCTTCTGAGAAGAACGCATTAAAAACTTCTGGTGTGATGTAAATAATCAATGTCTGAAAGTTTTCTGACCTGATTTGAGGAACCATAATTGAAAAGTGTAATGTTCTTGTTCCAGTATGTGGGACAAAATAATTTGCCAAGTGGGACATAAAAGTGTCCAACTTTAAAGTCAACATAAAATGCATTCCCAACCAATATTACTTCCATTGATATATATCTGTGTAAAAAAAAAAAAAACATCAAAGTTTTTACCAAAAAAAAATGGTAGGGTGGTAAGACTTATATTTTGATATTTTTAAATAATGTTTATCACTATAATTTTGAATTATCAAATTATTGACAATATTTTAGAAAGGCTGCATTACTTACATTGGTAACCTAAAACAACAAACATTTTAAGTCTTTGAAATTATCAAAATTAAGTGATTTTATGCTTAAAACATATATTATATATCTGTCATTACGGTAAGAAAAATGACTTATTTGGCAAGATTCACACTTATTGGTATAACATTTTATTCCTAAAAACGTGATGAAAATGTTTTTTTATTTTTTTATTATTTTTTTCGGGCTGTAACAAACGATTAATTTCATGATCTTTTAATCTATCGATTTCCCCCCC